CGGTTTATGACTTTGTTTTAAATGTGTACATATTTGAGCTTTTCCGCTGTGCTGCCAACACGCATATTCTTTGAATTTGTAATACAGACATATTCGTTAGATAAGTTCTAGACCTTTTTCCTTGGATAATCTTTACCTTTTATTATTTATTATTGTTTCCTTTAATTCCTACAGGAACATAGGGCTTCAGCCATGCGTCTCCATTGCGTTCGGTTCTCTGCTAGAGTCTTCACCTGGCTCCAAGTATGCCCACACGTTTTCATCTCCTCTTCACATCACCTCCTCCAAGTCACCCTCACACTGACGACCAACTCGCCGCTTCCCTTTCGGGTTCCATTCAAGGGCTTGTCTAGTGATGTCACTCACTTGATGGTTTCCTCAGATTATGGCCTCCAATCCAACTCCATTTCTTCCTGCCTATTTGTTTCACAATCGGTTCCTGGTTGGTTCGCTCATTGCCGGAGATCTCTGTTGCTGATCTTTTCTGGCCGGCTATCTGATCTTGAGTATTGAGCGAAGAAGACTGTTAATGAAAGTCTGTAGTTTGTTTGAGATGCTCTTTATGACGCGCAGTGCAAGTCTCTGATCCGTATAGTAAGTAGCAGTGACTTCACACTGGAGTTGAAAATCCGGATCTTATTTTTGATGCTGAGTGCTGAGTGTTGACCTCCACACAGACTTGAGAGTAGTGAAAGCTTGTCTTGCTTTTCTGATTCTTTCTTTGATATCCTCATCAGTTCTGCCTGTAGTTGAAACGAGGCTTCCCAATCTTTACCTTTTACTCTATTCAAATATACTACTAACAAGAGCACATTTCCTTGATAACTATAAGTCTTTTCAATTTGCGTTTTATCGTCAGTACTTACAGGTTAGGTAGATTACTGAATTATTGGATAACTAGGCAGATTAAGTCAAGTTAAGGCTGGTAAACTGTAGCATATCAACACCACTACGAGTAGGTTACACGTCCATCAGTTGGATGTATCCGCATCCATGGTGAGTGATTGTATTCACGGTGAGACTCGAACCTTACACCTGCGATTTCAAAACACCACTGGCTAATCTCCTAAGCGTTGCTAGTTCAGCTTTAAATAATAATAATAAAGATTTATTTCAGACAATATGCACAAATATAGTACAAATATTTTCAGCATATTTAGTTCCAAAATACTTTTTTCTTCATACAAGATTTACATGTAAAATAATAATCTAAAGTATATCTTTATTTCGTTGAAGAACTGTACAGCATTTACTTGGAAGCAAGTTAAATCAGCGCGTAAGTTCATGTATAGGTCATTTAATATAACTGGATGATTAAAACAATGATAAATTGGTGGAAAGCAATTTCGGTTGCCTAGTGATTCAAGCAAGCCGCCATTGTGCTCGTAGTTATCCTGGTGTGATTCCCACTGGTAGACGAATTCCTAAACCTCACTTAGCTGGTAGCAAGCACAGAAATGAGAGAAGGTTAGGTGTAAGGCTAGGGGACCATCATCCCTGTTGTAAAAAACAATACTATCGATAATGAAGCTTCAAACACTCAGGCATGAAGCCCAATATTACACTCAGAATGCAAGGAATGATGTATATATTTTGGATAGGGAGAATTTGAGTATATATACATATATAGTCATTCGAGCAGCGCGAACGCAGGTCTGACCTTGGGGCGGCCAATCAGAATAACCAATGTTTTTTCACATAAAAATACCGTTTATTAACTAGAAAAAGACAGATGATAAAAACGAACACCGTGGCGCTAATGCCAGCCGTATTCCTAGCCGTGACCCTAACCCTTACATTAATCCTAATCATGACTCTAGTCATAACCCTAACAGGCTATTAACCGATTATCAAAATAGTACTTCGAAACAAGGTCAGGATAAAATTTACACTTTGGTCCCTTCATGGAGCTCATAGTGACGCCATGACAGTGATACGTAGCGTTATCCAACGCACAGTATGCATTCCAGGTCATTGGCCAGTTCTTACTGCTGAGTCGGTATTCTTCAATTTCACCCCATCGTGACTCATTCTTTTATTTCAGTATTCTGAAATGTATACACAATGACTGAATAGGTGAGTCTGATAGTGTCACACAACTTACTTCAACTTCTGGCTTGAAAGTGATCTACAAGAACTGGTCCGTCCATATGCATACAGGTCACTGAAGTAGAAAATAAGTCAAACATAAAATACCTTGGAATACTTCTATCCTCTTACCTTTCTTGGTCGGTCAACCCTTGTCTTGTCTATTTTCACGAAAATGTTCAGTCTAACTTACTACATTAAGCAGTTAAGAAAATCAGGAATCACTCAACCTCTAGGCCTACAATTTGTTAGCTCCTACATCTTACCTATTGATCTTTATTGCTCCGCCATACTTATTATTATTGTTCCCTTGGGTTCCTAGTGAAACATAGGGCTTCGACTGCACGTCTCCACTTACTGCTGTTTTCTGCTGTACTTTTCACCTGAATGGATGTTAGTCCATACTGTTTCAACTCCTCTTCACACGATCTCCTCCATGTCACCCTTGGACGTCCCACTCGCCGCTTCCCTTTCGGGTTCCACTCGAGCGTTGGCCTGACGCGCGATGTCACCCAGTGTCCTCCTCAACGAGTGTCCAATCCATCTCCACTTTCTCCTGCATATTTGTTGAGCGATTTGTCCTTGTTCCGTTTGTTTGTTCCCATAGTTTCTTGTTGGTGATTCTTTCCGGCCATCTGATCTTGAGTATAGAACGAAGACAGTTGTTGATAAAGGTTTGCAACCTGTTGGAAATATTCTTGGTGACTCGCCAAGTTTCTGATCCGTATAGCAAAACTGACTTGACGTTTGTATTGAAAATCCGAATTTTGTTGTTGATGTTGAGTGACGAAGATTTCCAGATTGGTTTCAGGTCGATGAATGTGTTTTTCGCCTTCCCGATTCTCGATTTGACATCCTCGTCCGTTCCTCCTGTAGTTGAGACAATGCTCCCTAGATAAGTGAATGAAGTAACCTCTTTCAAATCCCTTCCGCCATACTGCGCTCCTCAAAAAGAAATATGTCATATTGAGATGTGAAGGGTAGTAAAGGTTATCAGTGGAGTGGACAAGTAGTGTGCCACTAAGTCAGCCTCCGAGAAACCCTATTTGACCCGCCCGCCCACGTTCTATGTGATACAGATAGTGTAAATCGTGAAACTTACAGCTTACCACGTATTTAGAAAAGTAATTGGCTCCTTTATCTTCTCATATATTTGTAGTTTATGATGATACTATTTATATTCTTCTCATAATTTGAGTTATTATTTTAATTTTTGTGTTTGCTGTTGTGGAGTAAATTAGATGCAATAACATTTAGGCATAAATCCGACCTAAACAAACTGGTTAGCTCTCACGAGGTGTGCAACATAGATGGCACTGAAATAGAAACCAAATCGGAAATTAAATACCTAGGCGTCATTCTATCTGCTAATTTCTCCTGGTCGTCTCATATCTTGACGATTTCTAAGAAAATATTCCGTCTTACCTTCTACATCAAGAAGTTAAAACATTCGGGAATAACCCAACCCCTACTCCTAGAATTCATTAACTCTCGTATTCTGTCTATTATTCTCTATTGTCCCCCCTTAGTTTTTCCAGGGCTACTGAAGAAAGACTATACCTTATTATGCAGGATGTTAAAGGTTGTCAGCAGGGTAAGCAACGTGCCACTTAACCAACTTGTTAATATTCTGGTTGACAGGTACATGGACTCATGTGAAAAATGCGCCAATTCCATTCTATCTAAGTCACACCACCCTCTTCATTCACAACTCTCCCCTTGCATCTCATCAGGCAAAACCAGAAGCCTATATAGAAAACTATATGCTCGCACCAGCAAGTACAAAAACTCAACCATACCCCACTTAGCTAATGTTCTGTGCGATAAAGAAAGCATTAGGCGTGACACCTATAATTCATTAAATAGTCACTAGTACAACTGGATCTCGTCTTTCCAACTCATATAATTTATAGGTACAATGTTTTCTTTCTTTTCCTTTTCTCTCTCTTTTTTCCGTTATGTGCTGCTTTGTTTCTTTCTCTCGCTTACGCCAGTAAATATGACAGCTCCTACTTTACTAACACCTTCAAACACTGTTCAACTTTGGCTTTGCTACCGACATGCCAATATGTTGTTTTCATAAGGAACTGAGATTTCCTTAATCTATGTAGAATTCTATTTATTGATAATGTACTAACTGGATGCAATACTGTAGTAAAAATGCTGAGAATTCCATTCTGTATCACTAGTACTGTTTTGGAACAAAGCAAATTATTATTATTGTACAAAATTCTGAGAATTCCATTCACCATCACACTGCATTATAAGTTTGAACAAAGCAAGAACTACAGTTTTAGCAGAATAAAATGGTACCATCTTTTATTTCGTTGCCTTATCGTCAGCTGCTTACAGGGCAAAGACATTACTAAGTGTATCTACAAAAACAATTTTAACGTTCTTGCACAGAGTTCATTTTAAACAAAAATCAATCGATCAATATACGCATACACTAATAATATATATATATATATGCAATATTAAGCACTATTCCGAACAATAATATTCATACACAATGAAAACTTTTCAGCGTTTCGCACTCGGGTGAAAGAGAGATGAAAAATATCCAGTTACTACGGCAAAGAAAGACTGATAACCACTTCTTTCTGAACATATAAATCAGGTTTCAGGCGCTTGATGGAAATGGCTTCCGCAAACTTAAGGAGAATTGAGCTCTTTTGCTTATTGATGATCATAAGTAGTGTTTTGGAATAAAACCAATTATTATTATTATCATTATCAAATACAACAAGTCTTGTGATTTAAGCACGTGACAGTGATTTCTGATAATCGATAAAATTGAAATAATACCGGGCGAATAACAATAGGCGTAATTTATGAGTTTTCACATCTCTACTAATGACAGCCTAAATAGAAAGAATATAGGAATAAAATTTCCCTTATGAAATAAAAGTATGAAATCAATCCTTGACAACACACTAAGTCAATCTGTCATAAATACACAACTACTAAGTGAAAACAAAACTGACTGTAAACATTTATTTCAACCGCATAAATTAAAAAGGCCTCTTCAAAAAGTGAATTCTTATTCTTGTTCTACATCATCATCAGCAGCAGCAAGCAGCAAAATGCAATAATTTATTAAAATTACCACGCATTGAAAAGAATACTGTAAATAATCGTAACCATGGTAACAGTTATACAAGTAAAGCAGTAAAACAAACCAACACTTCATTTATTGTAACATGTCCAACGGATTATTTTAAAAAATTAAATGAGATTAAACAAAAAGAGATATTGCTTCAAAAGAAATTGGACGAAAAGAAAAAATCCTTATTGAAAAGAAATTTAATCAGTAATCAAAATAATGAATTGAAACATTTAAAAAATAAGAGCCAATTCAATACAAACAATACTTTGAAATGTAAACTAAATGAAGAATTTGGCAGTAGTAATATTAAAAATGGTATAATTAGTAACACGAATAATGATAATGATGAGGAGAGTGATGCGGTTGAAAGAATGGAAGAAGGTCAATTGAATGAGAATGATAAACTATCGAGAAATCTTGACAAATTTGCTCGACAATCAACGGAGAGTGTGAGCAGATTGAGATGGACTACTGATGATAGTAGTATTAGTAATATTAGTACTAGTAGTGATAACAGTGGTAGTAGCAGCAGTAGCAGTAATAGTAGTAGTACTAGTGCTGGTGATACTGTTGAAAAGCCTTCATCAGCATCATCAACAACAGAACAAATTGTTGACAATATCTTTCCAGTGCAAAGTCGACTTTCAACATTAATTGAAAATGTGCTAACTCGTCAAAATGTCTCGAAACGCATAGCTCGAACGGGGACAGGGTTTAGTTGTGTCCCACCAAGACGTATACACTCATTAAGTATTATTAAAGAGGATCCAATGATGAAATTAATCGGTCGACATATTAATCATTCATTAGGCTTTAAAGTCTGTGAAAAGACAGATTCGTTAATAGTTGAACCGGATTATGAATTGATGCATAATGTTAATGTTTTATCAAAATATGAAGCGAAATATGAAGCCAATAAGAAGAAAAGTCAAGAAGAGTCAAAACCTGAACGTAAAAGGGTAAGATAAGTAGTGGCCTTTTTTGGTTTTTTTTAATAAAGGAGAATGTGTATAAATTATTGTGAGATGGATGAGGACGAGTATTGTGCATCCCGCATCCCTGGATGTTGCTGCCTTTCTCGACCAAAAAGAATATCAACTGACACAGGATTATTATTATTTATTATTGTTTCCTTTAATTCCTAGAGGAACATAGGGCTTCAGCCGTACGTCTCCATTGCGTTCGGTTCTCTGCTAGAGTCTTCACCTGGCTCCAAGTCTGCCCACACGTTTTCATCTCCTCTTCACATGACCTCCTCCAAGTCATCCTTGCACTGACGACCAACTCGCCGCTTCCCTTTCGGGTTCCACTCGAGCAATGGCTTGTCTAGTGATGTCACTCACTTGATGGTTTCCTCAGAGTATGGCCAATCCATCTCCATTTCTTCCTGCCTATTTGTTTCACAATCGGTTCCTGCTGGGTTGGTTCGCTCATTGCCAGAGATCCCTGTTGCTGATCTTTTCTGGCCGGCTATCTGATCTTGAGTATTGAGCGAAGACAACTGTTAATGAAGGTCTGTAGTTTGTTTGAGATGCTCTTTATGACGCGCAGTGCAAGTCTCTGATCCGTATAGTAGCACTGACTGACTTCACATTGGAGTTGAAAATCCGGATTTTATTTTTGATGCTGAGTGTTGTTGACCTCCACACAGACTTGAGAGTAGTGAAAGCTTGTCTTGCTTTTCCGATTCTTGCTTTGATATCCTCGTCAGTTCCGTTCGCCTGTAGTTGAAACGATGCTTCCCATGTAGGTAAAAGAGGTTGTTTCTTTCAGGTTCCTCCCATTTATGCTGATTGTTGTCTGTCGTTATTGTTGCTGTTGGAGGTGTTGCTCAGGAATCTTCATCGCCTCTGTTTTCTCTATGTTCATCTGAAGTCCTTTCTTCTCTGGATGCTTCTTCTGCTAACTTGTTGCTTCTCGCTTGCATATCTTCCAGTTTGTGTGAAATCAGACATATATCATTGGCGAAGTCTAGATCCTCCAAGTTTTTTGTAAAAGTGGGTCCATTTTATGCCTGTTTCCTCATTGCCCGCCACTGTATGTCGCATTATCCAATCTACTGCAATGGGGACAATTATTTTTCATTCAATAAAGAAAGAAATACCAGATTCGCAGTATAAATTGATATCATCCTATTTCTACTACCGCTGATATATCGATGACACATTTATTGTTGTTTGTAACAACATGAGTCATGAGGAATCTGTATTATATGACCGTCTTAATGAGATCCACCCAAACATTAGATTCCCCATAAAATATGAACGCAGCAATGAGTTCAATTTCCTGGACCCTTAATGTAAGAATACAAAGAGGAAGAAACGATTCTATAGTTGAAAAGTCCATCCAAAGAAAAGAAACCTGGACTAGACAATATCTTCACTACAACAGCTTTTGTCCCATAAGCTATAAGCGTGGATTAGTAAGGCCACTGTACGACAGAGCCAGGAGGTTATGTTTGCCTAACAAATTGGGAGAACGGTTAGGCTTTGCTGAGAAATGCCTAAGAGAAAATGGGTATCCAAAGAGATTTATCCAAAACTACAGCAAAGAAAAGGATGAGAAGACGAAACACCCAACTGTCGAAAAGAAGAAAGTGTTCATTTGTCTCCCATTCAAAGCAGAAGCATAATCACAAAAGATTGACAAGAGAAAGGAGCAATAAAACTACGCTTTCCTACAGCTAAGCTGGCAATGCTATATACCATCACATGCTCTATAAGCCAATCTAAACTGGATAAGTAACCTGCTGATGTCACTTCCAACTAAGTTTATAAACTTACGTGCACTTGCCGACACAAGTACATTGGAAAGGCAGAAAGAAGGTCTTCTATTCGGTTTTCACAGCATATCCCAAGAAAAGTATGTCTAATAAGAAGCAGATATTCACAAAGTGCAATCACCACCAGAACCCTGTGAATACAGATCATTTCTTTGAGATTTCTAAATTCCTCAAAATATTAAACATACAAAGGACAGCGAATCTACTACGACTTACTGAAGTAATTGCAATCAAGCGTTTTAAACCAAATTCATGTAGTGTACAGAAAGAGAGTGTAATCAGTGTACCTCTCAGGATTAGTTCTTTGATATGCTTAGTCGGTGAACTAACATTAAGATTACTTGAATCAATAAATTGATTCAGGTTACGCACATCAACACCAATAAACTAGATGAGATAAAATGGAATTATGGTGAGCAGAAATGTACGAGAGATCAAAAAAGATAATTAGTGGAGTTACATGAGGATTTATGAGATGTAGAATATTACAAAGAGTGAATCCATCTGTCCCACTGACAATGATTTTCATTTACATCACAACTACTCTTAACACACTTCCTTCTTAAAGTCCTGAACGCCCCAAAGTAGACAGGATACACTTCTCTGAATTTCTCAAACCAATATTAAAAGATTATACAGACTATTGTAATATTATTACTGTTCTTGTGGGTTCCGAGTGGAATATAGGGCCTCAACAACACATCTCCACATTCTCCTATTTTCTGCTGTCCTCTTCAGCTGGGTCCACGATTGCCCATAGTCTCTCTTCTCCCCCATTGCCACACGATCTCCTCCACATCACCCTCACAGTGACGACCCACTCGTTGCCTCCTATTGGGGTAGCACTCAAGGGCCTGGCACGCGATGTGGTTCCACGGTCTCCTCAGCGTATGCCCGATATATTTCCATTTTCTCCTACATATTTGTTGAGCGATCTGCTCTTGGCTGGTTTATTGTCACAGTTTCTTGTTGTTATTTCTTTCTGCCGGCTGGCTGGTCATTTGATGTTAAGTATGGAACCAGCGAAAGAGGTAGCTGCTGATAACAGTCTGGACGTGTTGGAAATGCTTTCCGTGATGCACGCGCACTGCAAGTTTCTGATCCATATAGAAGAACTGGCTGACTGACTTAACATTTGTGTTGAAAATCAGAACGAATCTTGTTGTTTATGCTGAGGTGGAATGCAGCAGCAGATTTCCAAACTGGTTTCAGGTTGATGAAAGTGTATCTTGTCTTTCCGATTCTGGCTAGCTTTGACATCTTCATCCGTGCTGTCACCTGTAGTCGAGACAATTCTTCCTAGCCAGATGACTGAAGGAAGTAACCTCTGTCAAATCTCTCCTGTTGATGGTGATTGGCGCTAGTTTTTGTTGCTGTTGATTGGTTATCTTCATCACCTCCGTCTTCTCTATGTTCACCTGCAGTCCTGTGTTCACTGCCTGCCTATTCTGCCAGTTTACTGGTTTTCGCCTGCCTGTAATTCTTCGAGTTTGTGTCACTTTAGACATATATCATCCATGTGCGAAATCCTGTATGCACTTCGAACGCCTTGCTGAATCTCGATGTTTTCTACAAACTGATGCCATAAATTGGTCTGACCAGGTCTAACCTAATCAATCACTACTCTCAAGTCTGTGTGGAGGTCAACAACACTCAGCATCAAAAAAAAATAAGATCCGGATTTTCAACTCCAATGTGAAGCCAGCCAGTGCTACTATACGGATCAGAGACTTGCACTGCGCGTCATAAAGAGCATCTCAAACAAACTACAGACCTTCATCAACAGCTGTCTTCGCTCAATACTCAAGATCAGATAGCCGGCCAGAGAAGGTCAGCAACAGGGATCTCTGGCAATGAGCGAACCAATCCAGCAGGAACCGATTGTGAAACAAATAGGCAGGAAGAAATGGAGGTGGATTGGCCATACTCTGAGGAAACTATCAAGTGAGTGACATCACTAGACAAGCCATTGCTCGAGTGGAACCCGAAAGGGAAGCGGCGAGTTGGTCGTCAGTGCAAGGATGACTTGGAGGAGGTCATGTGAAGATGAGATGAAAGCATGTTGGCAGACATGGAGCCAGGTGAAGACTGTAGCAGAGAACCGAACGCAGTGGAGACGTACGGCTGAAGGCCTATGTTCCTCTAGGAATTAAAGGAAACAATCATAATAGTAATTATTATTACCAATGAAGTATTAATTATTCCATATTAGTTTGTTTATTAGATATATCACACAGTGAGTGAAACAGTATTATTTACTGGATGACAAAGTTTCGAACAAAATTTATTATTGTACATAATCATTTCATCAATTATAATCACACGATATCGAAACTTGAGTTTTATAGACTACTTTGTTCCCTCCTATTTGTCGTCGTAGAGGTAGTAGAATTTTCCATATATCTGGGACAAGTGTTGAATCATTCCTATTACACGTATTCTCTTCAGTTGATTCGATAAACAAAGCTGCTATCAGTCAAATAGGGGGGAACAAAGAAGACTATAAAACTCAAGTTTCGAAGTCGTGTGATTATATTCGGCGATATGATTATGAACAATAAATTTTGTTTGAAACCTTGTCATCCAGTAAATAATACTGTTTCACTCACTGTGTGATACATGTAATAAACAAACTAATATGGAAGTTTTACACATAAACTATTAATTATGTTCAACTTACCGTCTTCTGTGAATTATCTCTTTAGACTGAAACCAGTGAGAAGTTTTCTATACCATCGAGAAAGCAAATATCATTGTTAGACAGTTCTGCACCACTCGATTCATCTTCTTCTTCTCAATCAATGAATATTATGCATGATGAACTTCAAGGACAAGGACAAAAAGTTGACCAATGCAAAATTCGATACTATTTTAATCCTGTTCTACAAATTCATCCTAATCAAGAAGTATGGTTATCAAAAAAGTGTAGAAAACATAAATCGAAAGTGTTCAGTGAACAAGACAGCAGTCATCATGATAATAACGATGATGATGATATTGATGATAATACCACTGAACACATTGATCAAATTGATGATAGTTTAAAACAAGATAATGATGAAAATATTGAACATGTTGAATCCAACATTATATCGTCATCATCAGCGAACATTGAAGAGGAGGACGAGAACCAGAAGCAGAAGGAAGAGGAGGAGGAGAAGGACGAGGAGAAACACGACGAAGTAGGTAGAACAGACGAGAGTGAATCACTACCAGCTATGGAAGAAAATACAAATCAAACTCCTCACCACGAACACCGTCGTTTGACGTTAGAAAAAAAATCAATAGATCTGAAGTCATCTGATGAAAAACAACCTACAGTCTACCGGTTAACGTCATCATATGAATATATGCATCAAGAAGAGGAGAATAAAACAACCTCTTCATTTGAATCAGACAAGACTACTGATAGGAGAACTGTCAGTAGTGTATGTAGCAGTGGGAAAAGTACTTCAACAAGTACACCTGACAATAAACTTCAAAGTATTACTCCTTCCAAATCGGATAGCTTAACTCTACCGAAATTATCAGTACAACAAGGGGAAAAAAGGTGTTCGCCTAATTATTATAACCATGAAGGCAATATTATTCATAGAAGAGAAAGTAAATTATTCACCAACCGCAGGAGTACAGAAATTGATTTTGCTAAAGTATTTGATCATCCAAATCCTATTGTATGGTTTGAATATTTAGGCGATCATCGTCTCGGTGATCCGTATATTCAACCAAATGTTGAACATGAAAAGTTGGTTGCACAATTCAATCTGAAAGGTTTAAAAAAGCGGTTCACTTCTGTCTCCGGTGGTTTAAGTGAATTAAAACAACACTTGGCAAAAGGTTTTCAAATTCATCCAAAACCTGAAACACTGATTAAATGTGCTATCAATAATGAAATATTACAATTACCAATGGCAAATATTACTGATTCAAAAACTATTAAAAATATTTGTCAATTTAGTATAATTAAATCACCAATTCTAATGAAAATGTTGCTAAGACATCGTGAAATCCTGCCGAGGGATTTACAAGAATTTTTAAACAGTATTATGGAGTTGACTGAAACGAGTGGTGAAATGTTGGCGTCAATAACAAATTCACCGACAAGACTAGCCAATCTAATTCAATTAGCCAAGGAATTAAACTCTACGGCGTTAATAACCAATGGTACATTGAAACAGAACACTGGAAAAGACACAGCTGATGAACAACAACATCATGAGCACGGAGACGCAGACGGAGAAGGAGAAGCCGGGAAACATCGAAAAGCTGAACAAGCTGATCTCGTCAATACTACTACTACTACCACTGAAGAGGCTGTTGACTGGAAATTCACTTCAAGACACGAACCACGCCCCTCGTTATTATCAAATTTGACAAGAAATTCACAATTATCAAAAATTTCAAATAATTCTTTAAAACTATTGAAAAATGCTAATTTAAAACAATTTAGTGATTTAGGCGGTATAAACGAGGAATATAATGAGGAGAAAAATTACTCTGGTTGTACAAATTATTCACGAGAAGAAGATATTGACAAAGCGTTCTATACAGTGTTACGTAATCCAGCGCAGACAATCCTAGAAGAGATCGCTTTAAGATTCCCTGAATTCTCTATATACATTCAACCGTTATTCGAGTATCGTTGGTCGACAATTGAAGAGGAATTCATTGAAAGTATACCAGAGATAGAAAGACAACGAAACAGGTTTACAATGATTAATGATTTAACTAGAAATACGGTGAATAATGCTGACGATGCGAGTTATCTTCAAGAAGAGATAAACACCAAACTGTCAGCAGTATCTTTACCAAATGAAGTAGTGAATGAGAATTTATTAGAAGAAACTGCACCAAAAAGGCATCGTTCGTCAGCAGCACTCTCATCGGCGGCGGCGGCTGGGGCAGTGACGATGAACTCAACGACAAAAACACGACAGAAACAGAAACCGCATAAATGTGAATTATTCAATCAACCAATTGTAGCTGATTTATGCATATTCCTGTTGAAACGTTTCCTTCTACTAATCAATACGGCGAATTCACAATCTCCAGGACATACACTATGGAATGATTTATTGATTTGTATACATATGTCCAATTATTATCCTCAGCTAACGGACATTTTAGTTAATGAACTGGACAATTGGTTACCACTGTTAATTATTGGCCTGGAAAGTTCTTATGCATCAGTACGTGAAGAGATCTGTTGTATCCTCGCCTATTTAGTCTGTTCATATCGATTGATGATGCGTTTACATGTGGTTAGTAAACACTTATTAGTGGCAAATATCACACTGAGTATTCTATCAGCTATGGGACAATATCCAGAGTCGTATACATTTTATCATAGTCTACTTGGTTATATGCTACATTCCATACCGTGTGTATCAATTCTTGACTGTTTGTTACTATGGTTACCGACAATCAGTAATAATAATGATAAAAATAGTATTAGTAATAATAGTAATCATATAATTACAAGAGATTGGTGTTTATTTGTCTATTATGTATTGAAACATTGGCCAAGGAATCCATTCTATTTAGACAGTACGTATCAAAGACGCTTAGTACAACCATTAGAGAATAGTTATTTGAATAAAATATCAAAGCATACAGGACGATTAGCATTGTGTCATTTAATACGTACATGTAAGGTGAAAAGTGTTATTGTCACTTGTTGGCCAGATGACGAGTAATCACACTACGCCTCCACGTCCTCCTCTGTCTCCGGCTACTCATAATAATAATAACAATAATAATAATTATGTTTAAATAGATTGTGGTAATGCGTTGAAGGTACACACGAAAACAGATTCTATGTGTGTGTTTGTGCGTGTGTGTGTGTGTGTGCGCGTCCACCCACGCATGTTGTCCTTTGAAGACTGATTCTGATTGGACGCTTCACGACGCTATAACATTTCAATGAATACTTCTGTTATATGATGAATCGAATATTTGTTACCACAGAAGTGTGTAGAACTTTATTGCGATGAAATAAATTAATCAATCAAACAGTATACTTTTTTCTTGTTTTTTCTTTGAAAAAAAACACAAATGACTTTTCTCCTCTTCATAAAATTCTGTTTGGGGAAAAAAAGTTGTAATGATATCCAATTGATTCAAATGAACTGTCGTCAAGATTTGACAGAATAGTTCTAAAATATTTGGGCGCCGAGTGAGAAGTAGACATTTGTAAAAAATTATATTTGTAAAGTCTCAGCGAGATTGAAATGAGTAATTCCAACGTTTCGTTCGGCGATCTGGTCAGAACTTCTTCAGGGAAATTAATCGAAATTAACATATCATAGGTCTATATATAAAAAGGAACATCACTTGTTTTTAAAAATTTGTCCAATCATGAGTCATTCAAAAAGTATCAACAAGTACAGTAAACAAAATTTTATGAGACGTGATCAAAATTTGACCTCGGACTTACAAATATTGGTCTACCTTTGTTAAACACTTTAAACAGAGTGTGTATGTATGTGTGGGTAAACAGTTGTAAAACATTTCTTAACGTCTCCATAAGAAGATATGGACAGTCAAGAATTTTGACCAAGTATTAATAATTAGTGATACATATCCATTTTTTATTTATTAATAAGGATTTCCTATGCATCAGCTAACATAACACCTTCATGTCTGTTCACACTGTTAGTATCTAGAATTTTATGATTAGACGTATTTTCAAAATTATGGTGTTTAGTTTTCCAGTGGTTCTCTAACTGATGTCAGCTCATGATGAAATCCTCCATGCAATTTAGGATTAGAGTTTAGTAAAATCTCAGCGATATTGAAATGATTAATTCCAACGTTTCCTGTGTTCGGCAATCTGGTTCGAACTTCTTCAGGGAAATTAATCGAATTTTGATAGCATTATTAGAAGACGGAGATTATCTGAAAAATGTGATGTATTAGCGCTATACATTTCGAACAATCTGATCACACATTTACTTGTCAAGTCAATATATATGGAAAAGTTAAATTAAACAAGGTGACAAAAAAAGGAATTAAGAAAAATTAACACAAACGTTTGGTAATCCAATCAAATAAGGATTACCAAGGTAGGTTAAGGATAATAACAAACTGTAAATGTGTGAGGGATCAGATTGTTCGAAATGTATAGCGCTAATACATCACATTTTTCAGATAATCTCCGTCTTCTAATAATGCTATCAAAATTTATAAAAGGGACTAACTGTTTTAAATTAATCGAAATTAACATAACAGAGGTTTATATATAAAAGGAACAACTCTTGTTTTTAAACTTTGTCCAATCATGAGTCATGCAACAGGCATCAACATGCATAATAAATAAATAAATAAAATAGTATGTTTATATATAAAAGTACATCTCTTGTTTTAAATTGTTTGTCCTGTCATGTGAATCAAGAAACAGCTATCAATAGGTATAATAAACAAAACAAAACAAAATTTTAATATGAACTGTGATCAAAATTTGACCTCAGACTTTCAAAATTAGTCTACTTTTGTTAAAATATATATGTGTATATGTGTATATGCAGTATCAATGGTGTGTGTGCTTGTGTGTGGGTGAACAGTCATAAAACATTTGTTATTCTCATAGGAGCTGTGATATTCATTTGACCGGATAGTTGCAAAATAATTGAGATTTTTTACAAATTTAATATAATTTTATAAATTTGATATTCTCTCCATAAGAAGACGTAGACAATCAGGAATTTGATGAAGTGTGACTAGTTGTTGAAAACATATCCAATTTATTTATTAGTCAGGATTTGCCATGCATCAGCTAACATCACACCTTCACGTCTGTTCAAACTGTTGGGATTCACCCATATATGTAGGGCTTCTGCAGTCAGTCTTCCGTTATATGTACGAAAAGTAATCTGAAGAACCTTAGTCTTATCAAAGTCGATTTTGTGTCCCGTTACTAATCGAATGTAGTGCAATCGCTGAGTTATTTTCTAGCTTCTTCAAGGCTGCAGAGGTCTTTGGAACCACCTTTAGACATTGTTTATGCTCTTTCACTGTTATATTTACCTGTCTGGAAGTTTCTCCTACATACATATGGCGTTACAATCCCCACAATTGATCTGGTATACACAATTCTGCTGGTTTTCTTGTTCTATTTTATCCTTAACCTTCACCATTAATGAGCTTAAGGTGTTTGATGCACATGTTGATGCCTGTTGCATGACTCATGATTGGACAAAGTTTAAAAACAAGAGTTGTTCCTTTTATATATAAACCTCTGTTATGTTAATTTCGATTAATTTCCCTGAAGAAGTTCGGACCAGATTGCCGAACACAGGAAACGTTGGAATTAATCATTTCAATTTCGCTGAGATTTTACAAATATAATTTTTTTACAAATGTCTACTTCTCACTCAGCGCTCAATTATTTTGCAACTATCCGGTCAAATCTTGATCACAGTTCATATGAATATCCAATAGATGTAGACTGTATTTATCAAGAAGTGTAGCAATGAGTTGATAATTAGATGGTTGGAGGAAGTTGGAGACAAGAAGCCTTATCTGACTTAGGTTTCGTACTAGTTGGGCACTCATCAGTCAACAAGGCAGGTGTATCTGCAATCTTCAAGGAACTCATGCCCCTCCTGAGAAAGGAATCTGTGCCTATTGACAACAACAATGTCAGTTAATAGATAAGTCAAAGTGCGCGCACACATGCACACACACCACTAACCCTGCCTACTTAGAGGTTTCAGTGTTTCACGTCATATGACAGAGTCTTTCTTGCCAAACCCAAGGAAGAATAGGGGTAAACAAGTATAGGCATAATACATGAATTAATTAATAAATTGTAAGAGAAGAGGTTGAGTTATGTCAGAGGGAAGTTTCAACTTCCTTACTTAATTAGTCAAACGAGAAATGGACTTAGTAATAAACAGGATATGAAACGACTAACAGAGATTCGATGAGAAACTGATGTCGAGATAAGCGATATTCAATTCTCCCCCTATCACAGTGCCGTTAATATAACCAAAATCATCGGATTGAATCAGTTCATGAGAGTCTCATTCATATTTGAAACTAAAATCAACATTATAACATTTAGATGGACCATTAAGGTGAGACCAGATAGGAATCTCTTCATTTGAGAACAATCCCATGCAGAAACTGCTGAGACAGAAAGTGTCAGATCATCGACATATATAATGAAATTTGCTTTGGAAAAATACGGAAGGTGATGCAGGAAGGAAGGAAGGAAAAAGAAATGGGAAAAGCGCAGCACATCGAAGCACACCAGTTTCTGTTAGCAACGGAGTGGAGTGCTTTCGATTCAAAACAGTCTGTTGTTTTCAACCTGGAATATAAGAAGGCAGTCGGCACCTTGTGACCCAGGACTCAATGTATGATGGGATCAACTTGCTTAGTAAGACTGCCATAAGAATAGAGTCGAAAGCAGCAGTATAGTTTGAACAGTTGGCTCAAACAGTTTTTGTACCTTTACCAAGACTCGAGACAATATTGTGGTGGAGTACACCGTCAGGCATTTAAAGTGTTTCTACTGCATTTATAAGCAAATTGCTTTGGGTCACTAAAAGATTTCAAAGAAGGTTTAAGAACATGCCGATAGTTTTCACAAATGGAGACGAGATGGCGACTGGACTAAAATATTCAAACTATAAGTGTATAAAGGCTTTTTCTGAATTCACTAAACACGACAGTGTCGTATATCTTGTTTAGCTTAACGGGGAATCAGGGTTCGATTTCGGAGAGGGAGCCTGAGAAATGGCTACCACATCCAAGGATGGCAGCAGGCGCGAAAATTACCCACTCCTGGCACGGTGAGGTAGTGACGAAAAATACGAATACGGGACTCAATTGAGGCTCCGTAATTCAAATGAGTACAGTTTAAATCCTTTAACGAGGACCAATTGGAGGGCAAGTCTGGTGCCAGCAGCCGCAGTAACTCCAGCTCCAAAAGCGTATATTAAAGTTGCTGCAGTTAAAAAGCTCGTAGTTGAACCTGGGTTGTGCGGCCGCATGCCGTTGCTTGTTCGCGGTTTTGGTTATGATCAGAACTTGTGTTCGGCTCGGTGTAGTGGTTGTGCAGCCTTTCAGCCGTATCTGTGTAAATGGGTGCTGACGGAGATGGGTGAGCTTGTCTTGCCCGCTATCTGTTGGCATGCTTCCGGATGCCTTTAACCGGGTGTCGGGAGCGGACGGCATCTTTACTTTGAACAAATTTGAGTGCTCAAGGCAGGCCTTTGTGCCTAGAAATTCTTGCATGGAATAATGAAATAGGACTTCGGTTCTATTTTGTTGGTTTTCGGATCCGAAGTAATGGTTAAGAGGGACAGACGGGGGCATTTGTATGGCGGTGTTAGAGGTGAAATTCTGGGATCATCGCCAGACAAACTACAGCGAAAGCACTTGCCAAGAATGTTTTCATTGATCAGGAGTGAAAGTCAGAGTTTCGAAGACGATCAGATACCGTCGTAGTTCTGACCATAAACGATGCCAACTGACGATCCGCGATGGTTCTATAATTGACATAGCCGGCAGTCTCCGGGAAACCTTTAAGTCTTCGGGCTCCGGGGGAAGTATGGTTGCAAAGCTGAAACTTAAAGGAATTGACGGAAGGGCACTACCAGGAGTGGAGCCTGCGGTTTAATTCGACTCAACATGGGAAAACTCAGCCGACTAAGTGTATGAAGGCTTTTTCTGAATTCACTAAACGCGA